TATTGAGTTGTCACACCTTACAATGTCAGCTCACCACTCACTTTGCTTCCTTTTTCTCCAGGAACAGATCATGGCCTTTGCAAGCAAATGAACACTCCTCTTCTGGAGAGTATCTTGATGAAAAAAGAACATTCTGCCCCAATACCATCATGCATATTTTCAAGATTTAATTTAATAAATTTACTTTATGTTAGAATCTCCCAGTCTGTTTTTCTCCTCGGCTTAATAAGCCTGTAGAGCCCAAATAATGAGTGAAAATTTGCTGTGAGGAGGGTGTATCAACGAAGCCAAGAAAAAAACCCAAAGGAAGACTATTACGATTTGGTTGAAAGGAGCTTTTTATTACTAAATCACAGTGCTTTGTCACTTATTAACAATCCTTTCTAAAGAAAAGATTTATAGAATTGTTTTTGGAGAGAGGTAAGAATTAGACATACTCAGTTAATGCAGTTCTGCTAGATTAGCAATTTTAACATTAGAATGCAAATTTAAATTGCTTAACTTTTGTTATAGGTGCACTCGACTTTCTGAAAAGAAAAGTCAAACCTTATTAATGCTAGTTTACTTCTTCATCACAGCACCAGATTTCAGTTGTATTTATGGTTCCTCTCTAGGACACCAATGTCTGTTCAGTATTAAAACAATAAATAATTTCATTGCACAGATCTGAAGACCTCAGGAACCAGCTCACAAGGGAAAATCTGATTAGCAGCAGAATTTGTTCATGTTTGGTGGCAGACTGGAGTAGGTGGTGTTTTGCTGTGGGTTTCTAAAGAGCTTGCTTCACAATACCAGAGATGCTTCTTGAAGAGATTTTTTAGGCCCCTGCATACTGTAAAGAATGTATCATCCAAAAGTCTGATTTGAAAATGATATTTTGAGAGAAACAGTCTGCTTTTGAACCAAGCTAAGCTAGTCTTGGGAGTAATTTTTGAGATCATGAGAAGTCTTGTTACCACAGGGGAGCTTTTTAGGCAAATGTGGAAAATTTATAAGATACTAGAGTAAAAAGTGACAATGTCACCCACCTTCCTGGAATTTCAGGAAAAATGTGTCCAGAATAAAAGATGGCAGCTGCCGTGAAAAGCTGTGTCACTACTGGCAAGCCCAGAAAGGTCACTGGAGGGAAAAGGTCACCTTTCACAAAAAACAGACGCCCCAAAAGTATGCAAGGTCAAAATCAGGCAAAACGGGGAATTTTAAGGCACACCTTGCAAGGACCTCCATAACCCACAGAGGAAGTCCTTCATATAATAACAATAACACACAACATTTGCTATGTGCCAGGTGACGTCCTAAATATTTTAATATGGAAACACGTTTATAGGGAGGAAACTAACCAGCAGTATTAGGATCTAGAGGACCCTTAATAAGAGGCCCAAATGGTACACGAAGGCGAAAAAGACAATATGGACAAATTGTTTTTTCTAAGAAAACAAGTTCTCATTCCAAGTAGTTCTTAAAATGGGTAAGTTGGTTAATTCACCAAATGTTTAATCAAGATTATATATAGATACATTTCTAGAATTAGGATGCATCCACCCAAGAGTTATGAAGATACACAGGATGACTAAATGAGAGTGCTGAACAATATGTGTACTTTGCAAATATGACCACTGTTTGTAAGAAAAGCTTCTTCAGATGAGCTGTGGTGATAAAGACTAAGGAATTTCACCAAGCTGGAGGAGTATTTAGGGAACACAGTGTACCTCTAGGGGGAAAAAATGGTTTCTAGAGGAAATGGTCTCTCTAATCATAGGGATCATTAGCCATTAGAGAAATGCAGATTAAAACTACAATGAGATATCATCTCCCCCCAACAAGGCTAGCATTAATCCAGCATTCAGAGTATTATGAGTGCTTCTAGCACCCTGTTTTTTTGGTAAAGGGTCTGGAAATCATGCTGTATGTATGTTAAAGAAAAGACCATAAAGGATTTGGGAGGAGTTTTCTTCAAATGACCGAGGCAGGCGGGATTAGAGCAGAACTAAGACCAGTGGGAAGACAGGTATATTTCAGCTCAATATCAGGAGGAGCTTTTTAACATCAGTGCAGTCCCAAATGGAATGACCTGTCTGAACACAACATGCCTAAACAAGCTATTAGAAATGTTAAGGAAATTTTGTACTGAGTAGAAGATTGGATTAGAACTTTGGGCTGTTTCCAACTCTAGAGATTCTATTATTTATGTATTAGCATTTTTTGAGGAAGGCAGTAGGTATACAGGTGACCCTAGTAGTAAAAGTCAATTTGAAAAGTTTGAAGAAATTCCACATTAAATTAAAAAAAAATAAAATTTAGAGGATAAGGAGATAGTAATTTGCTTAGGGCCTTGTGCAAAGCAGATGTTAAATATTTATTGAATCAGTGGAGTAACTTAAAAAAGTAAGGTTCCCAGAGACTGGTGCGCAGGCTAGGCATCTTTAACATCTTTTGTGAGAAGGCTGAAGGAAAGGGAGTCTACTATGAAAGCTTAATGTTTGGGGAGATACAAACTCTCCTGGAAAGAAACTGGAGATAAAGAGCCAACGCAAGGAGCTAGACTACAGGAAGATCTTTCAAGTCCACGAGCACGCGACTGGGTAGACAAGAAATAGATGTTCGTGTGGGAAAGTACAAGATAATGAATTTTCTGGGGAACGATCACAAAATCAAGAGCTCCATGATCATTAGCAATTAGAGAAATGCAGATCAAAACTACAATGAGATATCATCTCACCTCAACCAGGCTAGCATTAATCCAAACACAAAATAATAAATGCTGGACAGCTTGTGGAGAGAATGGAACACTTACACACTGTTGGTGGGAATGTAAAATGGTACAACCACTTTGGAAATCGATTTGGTGCTTCCTTAAAAAACTAGAAATAGAAGTACCATACAATCCAGCTATCCCACTCCTTGGAATATATCCTAGAGAAATAAGAACCATCACACGAATAGATATATGCACACCCATGTTCACTGCAGCACTGTTCACAACAGCAAAAAGATGGAAACAACCTAGGTGCCCATCAGTGGACGAATAGATAAACAAATTATGGTATATCCACACAATGGACTACTATGCTATGCAACGATAAAGAACAACGATGAAGCCGTGAAACGTAACAGGGAGGAATCTGGAGGTCATTATGCTGAGTGAATTTAGTCACAGAAGGACAAATATTGTATAGACCACTATTCTAAGAACTCAAGAAAATATTCTTTGATGGTTACAAGGGTGGGCAGGGAGGGTGAGGGTTATTTACTAACTAGATAGTAGATAAGAATTAGGTGAAGGGAAGGACGGCACACACTACAAGGGAAGTCAGCACAACTGGACTAAACCAAAACTAAGAAGTTTCCTGAATACAATCAAACACTTTGAGGGACAGAGTAGCAGGGCTGGGGGTCTGGGGCCCATGCTTTCAGGAGACATCTAGGTCAACTGGTATAACAGCTTATTAAGAAAATGTTCTGCATCCTACGTTGGTGAGTGGCGTCTGAGGTCTTAAAAGCTTGCAAGCAGCCGTCTAAGATGCATCAATTGGTACCAACCACCTAGAGTAAAGAAGAATGAAGAACACCAAAGACACAAGGAAAGTAGTAGCCCAAGAGACAGAAAGGGCCACATAAACCAGAGACTTCATCAGCCTGAGACCAGAAGAACTAGATGGTGGCTGGCTATCACCAATGACTGCCCTGACAGGGAACACAACAGAGAGTCCCTGATGGAGCAGCAGAAAGGTGGGGTGCAGAACACAAATTCTAGTAAAAAGACCAGACTTTAATGGTCTGGCTGAGACTGGAGGAACCCCAGAAAGCACGGCCCCTGGATTCTCTTATCAGCCCAGAACTAAAACAATTTCTGAGGCCAACTCTTCAGACAGGGATTGGACTGGACTGTGGGACATAAAGTGATACTCGTGAGGAGCATGCCTCTTACCTCAAGTAGATACAAGAGACTAAACGGGCAGCTTCTGTCTGGAGGTGAGATGAGAAGGCAGAGAGGGTTAAGAGCTGGTTGAATGGACATGGGGAATCGGGTGGAAAGGCGGAGTGTGCTGTCACAGTATGGGGAGAGCAATTAGAGTCACATAACAATGTATAAGTTTTTGTATGGGAGACTAACTTAAAATGTAAACTTCATTTAAACTACAACAATAAAAAAATAAAAAAGATTACAGCCTAAAAAAACAAAATCAAGAGCTCGAGAACCTGAGAGTCATTAAATATGGTTCTCTGGAAATGCTGGTGCACTGTACTGATGTGGGCCAAAATGGCCAACCAAGTCAAATTGGGATGTCAGTGAGAAGGGTACCAGAAACCCTGGCAACTGACAGATAACTCAAGAGGATGTAGCTAAAATGATGAGGGGCTGGGGCAGGAAGAGGTACTACTGTATATGGAGAGAATTAAAAGGGCAAACTGAAAGGGGCTATGACCAAAATCTGTAACACTTGAATAGCATAGCCACTTACCTCTTAACCACCAACCAAAATGCTAGGGTACAGTTGCATTTCTTTGAAATACAAAGAAGATAAGTTTAGGACCACAGAAAACACTATAAACACATTAGCCTGGTAGGTGGTACTGGCTCTGAACACAACACACACATACAATCATTTCTATAAGGTTGGATATGTTCATTAATCACAGGGTTAACTGATAAAAAAGTTAATTAAAAGATGGGCTCCAGAAGGCAACCACACCCTCTCAAAACATGTCCCTAGAGATTGGATCACCTCCTTTCTTAAGACTGCAATTCTGTGCACAGTTAGGGGTTGCTCCAGACTTGGCCATGTCAGAGAGATTTTCCATCCTGCTAAGATTTAGGGTAGCTCTCGGCTGGCTGATGGGAGCTAGTGCAGAGCAGGATCACACAAGAACTTCAGATGTGGTATCTTTCCTTTTTTCTTTCTTCCTTGAATTACACTTGGAAAGTAAAACCAGGTTTTTTTTCTCTCTTTTTTAGGTGGGGGTTGGGTAGTTGGAGATAAGGGTGGGGTGGGGCAGAATGTGGGGAAGAAAAAAATACTGGTATTGATAGGTCACAGGATTGCAATCAGTCAGCTTAATTTAGCATGTAAGAGGAAAATTAAAATGTTCAAAGGAATGAGGCACTCAAAGGGTTGAAATGAGATTTTTCTTTGGTTCCCAAGGACCTGTCCCTGGGCTCTCACTCCAAGGTCAGGTTCTACAACCATGCTTTTTGGCTCACAGGGCTCTCTATATGACACCCAAAGAATCTCAAAGATTTAGACTCTGGTACTAGCTGTGCACTCAGAGTGGTTAGGAAACAGTTCACATTGGATGTGTAAAATTAATTAAACCCAAATCTCTAGGCTTAAGGGCAAGACCCCTCTACAAAAGCCCTTCCTCCTGATGGAGCTAGTGACTGGGCTTCAGTCCAGGCTTGTCCCCAGACTAGCTCAGAACATGGCTGAGTCCTCCTCCTCCCCTTAAAAAGGTCTTTGGTGAGTACAGTCCTCAGAAGTGCTCAGCCTCAGTGGGCGATGTCCAGAGACTGCAACAGGTGAAAGGTAGCCCCCAGGGCCCAGCCTGTCTCTATGTTGTTCACTTTCTTTGTGAGCTGTTGGGAAAGGGGAAAAAAAGTCTTCACATTTCCATCCAATTTCCAACTCTTAGCAAGCACGGCACTTGGGCAGAGAATATCTGCAAAGAGCACCCACATGACCAAACCAATGCAAAATTGAGAGTAGCCAGTCTTTGGAGGCTTCCTACTACCCCAGTCTGTAACAATTTCCCTCCCACCCTGGCCTACTACTCCCACACCTGCCATTCTGATCCTGGAATGCTTCTGGCCCAGGAAGTGGTCTCATTCAGGTCTTCTAGACAGGACCACAGGCTTCTGAACTCTCCCTAAACCTGAAACTAAACATAGCATCCCCTGATTTATTTTCTGAATCACCAGTTTCTGATAAGGCAACTTACTGTCATATGTTAACGGATGTGGTAGGAGTTGGGAATAGATTTAGGGGCAGGAAAGAACATCCCAAAGTTCTCAATTCATACTATGTAAGCAACTGCCTCTTCTTAAAGTACTAATAATAATGAACCAAGGCATTTAAGGCATTCTAGGCCAGGCTGTGTCTCGGGTAGCTCAAGTGACTCTGGGCAAAACTTTGGCCCCAACTTCTTCAACTATGTAACAGGGGAATTAGACTAGTGTTTACCAAACTGTTTTCTTCAGAATCCTGGGGGTTCATGAAAGTCTTCAGAGGAGAAAAGGGGAACAATAGTGAAGGAGTTCCAGGCCCCCAGCCTCTGCTTCAACCAGGATAGCTCCACTTTCATCAGTTTTATGTTACTGGCATTCTGCATAAGCTTTTGTTGAATGATGCTACCACTACCACCACCAAAAATAAAAGTTTGAAAACCAGCACTAACTTCCAATGACACAATAGTTCCATGATGACCTGATGAAATCTAGTCTAATCACTGTGCTGAAAACTGAGGAGAATGGCATTTGACTTATTCTCTTAATCGGCTCATTTAATTTTGGGGTAGCACTGGGTAAACGGTATGCTGCATACATGGCGACGGCAGTTTGAGGTTTAGTCTGGGACACCTGGGTCAAATTGCTGTGGCTTCCTTCCAAAATGCTCTCCCTCTGTCCTCAGAACTGGGCTGACAGCCTATGGGTACTGATGCTAAAGTGAAGTGATCTTTGGGGCAGAGACAGACTGTCCACTCTTGATGCTCCATTTACATTCTGCCTCCACTGAAATCGTAAGAACCAAAAGGATGCCAGCACTGGAAATGACGATACACTTCCTTAAATAACTTGGTTATTGCTGACATTTAAGTAGAGGCAGTTGTTAACTTGCATGTGTTTGAGAGGCTTGGGATGATCTCTCTTGTCCACAAATCCATCCCCAGCTGGTGTGAAATGCCTCCACTAATAGTAATACCAAGTTATTATGTGACAGACACTGTGCTTTACATGCATTATCTCAATTTTCGTAACAGCCCTATGGAATTGGTACTGAAAGTATCCCTGTGTTTCAGATGAGGAACCTAAAGGTTAGAGAGGTGAAATAAATCACTTAAGATCACAGAGCTAGGAAACTTGTCAGATCAGAACTTGAACCCAAATCTGATGGGCAACAGAGCCAATGTTTTAAACACTACACTGCACTGACTCTACTAGCAAGCACATTTTCTGTGTTAAGAAACTTTAAGCACTTTAAAGTCTTAGCAGATATAATAACATATTAAATCCAAATAACCAAATACCAAGTATGAATGAATTTATGAAATCTGTATAACACAAGAAATGGGCATGAAAAATTCATCTGGAACTGGGGAAACAAGCAGGGTTAGTGGCACAAGGGAAGCTGGGGGCTTGGAAGACAAACTATAATCTACTTACTTGACCCCAAACTTCACAAAATTACCTTGTGCCATTGCTAATAGACTGTATGCTCTTTGAGTACAAAGATTACATCTTAATCATCTTTGCAAATGTAATGTGCAATTATTCAATTATGACATAGAAGACAAGAAAACAAACAGGATGGATGAAACACATAAGATGTGTTTAGTACAGGTAAGTTAACATAAAGTAGAGCCAGCATGTGCTGAAATAGATAGAGAGACAGGAGGACAAAGAGGCACCTAAGATTCAAGAGGCACTAAATGTACAGAAGGCAGACATACAAAAATATCTGATACACTGCACGTGCACAAGGCATTTAATATTCAAGAGGGCTTAAATCAGCCAGTCATCGGTGACACCCTTCTGCTCCCTTAGGTCCTCTGCCAAATAAAACCCATTTAATGAGCCCTGGTGGTGCAGTGATTAAGAGCTCGGCTGCTAACCAAAAAGGCCGGCAGTTTGAATCCACCAGCTGGTCCTTGGAAACCTTATGGGGGTAGCTCTACTTTGCCCTATAGGGTCGCTATGAGTCAGAATCAACTTGATGGCAACGGGTTCGGTTTGGTTTGTTTTCAATGGGTGAGGTAAAGCTACTAGCCAAGTGTACCCATACCTGCACCTCTCCAAACGGCAAGTTTATGTGATGGCCCCAGGCACTATCCATCTGTTGGGCCCCCTTGATCAAACTTCAGCTCTAGTATTTTTCTAACTATTACCATCAGTGGCAGACAGAAAGGCAAGACGTATGAACATTGTGTAACAAAGGATGCAGGAAGTTGTGGCACTTCCAACCCGCCTGCACCCTATCCTAAGTGTGTTCACCTACCCCATGTCTTTCCCTTTGCTTCTCCCTGAGCTTTAAACTGGTTTAATAGGCCATGTGATTCGGGCATCTTAACTGGCTCTGCGAGTCTTTCTGTTCTGTGATCTCAGGGAGAGCCTGCCTGGTAATGTACTCAGAGGCTACCATTGCATCAAAGTAGTTTCTTACATTTATGGTGTCTATTACAGTATCTTATCTATAGCCCAAATAAAAATATACAATTTCACCTATAGCTATTCTGATTACTAAACAAGTTCTTGACTCCTTCTTCCTCACCCCCATAAAAGAAGACTGTTATGACACTCCTGTGCCCTCTCTCTTACCTGTAAGATGGTGCTGTCTGCAAAGCCAAAGCCATCCTTTAACAAGGCCGTGATGTAACTGAGATCCATGCACAGGAAAGGACTCCCTGAGGTGAAGTTTTCTAAGTTATCACACACTGAAAGTGAGACAGAGAACAGTGGGATTCAAGTTTGCAACTAACTGACAGGTGTATAATTTTATCTAAATATACATTTAAAATAAGCAAAGCAGAACTCTCCATTTGGTTGATGTCTGGGCCTCTTGGAGGCTAGAACTGTACAGACTGACTCTGAAAGATGGCAGTTTAAGAAATTGCAAATTTCTGATGTTACACCTTGCCTACTCAAATTTACACGCATCTTAGTTTATTTGGTAAATTTCTATGACCTATTGTGGGGGCACAGTTCTAAGTTTCTTACCTATTATTAATCCTGAGCCCCAGAAGATAAGAAAATACAGTTAGCCCTACTTTGGGGCCACTGGCTAAGAGCATTTGTATTTTAGATTGACTCTTCTAAGGAAGCCTCTGTGGCTTGCGCCCATGGATTTCGGTGCTCAGTGTTTCATTAACACTGATTATTTAAAAAAGAAAGGAAGGATGGAAGAAAGAATTGCAGAAAGAAACAAAAGGTGTTCATTATTTCCCCAAAGCTTCTTATATTCCCAGATTCTATGCCACTTAATGCTTCTAATTCCTGGCAAAGACTGGAAGACTCAGGGAGGAAACCAGCTTTCTGAGAGGCTTGCTGAGCTGACTATGAAGCATTAGGTCACTTTAAGGTCACTGGAGTTGGCAGGCACAGCCTCACAGGCTCGCCTTCGAGGCTTCCACTGACACTTACCTTCCCTGGCTTTTTTTTCAAAATCTTCAACTTTTAAAACGCCCCCTTTTTCATAGTCTGAAATGGAACAGATCAGTAACTGATGTCAAAAAACCTTCAAAGAAACATAAGGAAATTCATCCTAGTAATATTAATGATAATGAAAAACTGGAAATGAGCAAAATTTCCAACTTTAGGGATGGGATAAACCAACATGACATACCCATATGATATAATCTATGCTGCTACATTGGCTATTTTTAGAAGGTGAGATTATTGGGGGATTATTCCTTTTATTTCTCAGCACATTCTAAATTTTATACAAGAAATATGTATCACTGGATTTTCAGTTTTAAAACAGTAGAGGAGACACATCTCTACCTATTTCTTCTCTCTAAAATCACCTTAAAACAATAAGGAAATTAGAAACAGAAATACATACTCTATCATCAAAGAAACTAAATGACAACTGTAATCCTGAATCACAGTATCTGAGGAAGGGCTAGCAAATGCAGTGAAGATTGGACAAGAGTTTGAGAGGAAGCCAGGTGCCGCTGCTGCTCTCTAACAAAGTCAGCAGGTTCTCCCAAGGATGTAGAGGTCTTGAGGGTTAGAGGCAATTAAAACTTGAAACTTGTGCGGAGCAATGGGACTGGTGTACGTGAACTTCTGTGGGTGTAAAGCAGGACTCTGTTTGGCACCTGGAGTGGTAGGAGAGGCAGGGCAGATTGAGGAAACAGCTGGTGAGGAGAGACTGAACTGTGAGCAGCCTTGCTGCCCTGATCTCTGTCAGCAGGAAAAAGTAAACACTAAGCAGCATACACACACTAACACACCACCATGTGTCACCGTGGTTCATCGCTCTGAACCAGAGATACTTTGCTTGTACAGAACAGTGCCTGGACTCCGCCCTCATATGACCCTCCTATAAAGAGTTGGTCTTGAAAGAACTTACATCATTTAATGTGAGTAATGATAAAAAGAAAAAAAAAGGGAGCCCTGGTGGTGCAGTGGTTACGAGCTCAGCTGATAATCAAAAGGTCAGCAGCTGACTCCACCAGCTGCTCCTTGGAAACCCTATGGTGAAGTCCTACTCTGTCCTACAAAGTTACTATGAATTGGAATTGACTCAATAGCAATGGGTTTATTTTTTTTATTAATGATAAAAATAATAATGAAATATAGCTAGGAAATACAGAAAGATTCTACAAGAAAAAAGAAGAAAGGAACAAGAAAAACAAGACAGCAAAATAACACCAGAAAAGTACTCTCAAGGAATAGATAAAAACCATGACCATGATATTCCTAAGATCTTAATGAAAATTCTTTCATTAGAATTTGAATTTCATTAGGATTTTATTAGAATTTGAAACAGACATGAACACCTCTTTCAGAAGAGACAAAACACAGAAAAATGTGCACAATTGGTAAACTTAGGATAAGGATATACAGGTGTTCACTGTTCTTTCGACATTCCTGTGGGTTTGATAATTTGCAAATAAAAAGTTAAGGAAGAAATAAATTACAGAATTAAAAACAAAAATACCTCTTTAAAACAAGAGCTCTCATAGCTTCTTGAAGGAGATGACAGATCCTAAGAAAGAAATGGCAAGAAAAAGAAAACCATCACAGAAATGAAAGACAAAAGCAGCCAAAAAAAAAAATCAAACAAACAAAAAGAGGATAACAGACACAGGAGAGGCACACGGAAGACAATAAAAGTAAGCCAAGTGAGATGGAAACAAGGAGTTAAAAATGATTAAAAGAGAATCTAAATAATGGAAAATAAAAATATTCAAAGATATAATTCATAAAAACTTTCCAAAAATAAAAGACCAGAACCTTCAGATTGAAGGCAGATGCTGCAATAACCCATGAAAAACTGATAGAAAATGATCAACACATCCTAAATAAAGTTCTTGAATTTCAAAGATAAAGAAAAAGATCAAGTCACCTATGTGAGTAAATAAGTCGGAGTGAGGTCAAGCTGGTCTCAGACCTCTTCTCAACAACATGCAATAGAAGACACCGAGCAATGCCTACAAAGTCCTCAGAGAAAGTTTTTTTTACTGAATAAATTGTTACTCAAGCATAACCCCTTAAACTCATTGCCATTGAGTTGATTCTGACTCATAGCGACCCTGGGTTTCCAAGGCTGTAAATCTTTTAGAAGCAGACTGCCACATCTTTCCCCCTCAGAGTGGCTGGTGTGTTCAAAGTACTGATCTTTCAATTAGCAGCCGAGTGCTTAACCACTGCACCACTGTATACAGTGTGTATACACTGTATATACCACTCAAGTATACAGGCCACAAATATTTTCAAACATGAAAGAACTTTGCATAAACAGTTCCTGTGAACACTTCTTAAAGAAATTCCTAAAGCCAGTCAAGAGATGAATGGAGAAACTATGATAACCAAGCTGGGTAGTAATCATTTAAATGTAGGACTAAGACTAAAACAATCACAGGAATTTATGAAGAATATAAATGTTATAAATGATGATGATGTAAAACTAATAAAACAAATACACAGAAGAGTAGAATGGAAAAAAAGTGGGCAGAATCTTTAAAACAATAGGGCCAAAATATTTCATTCAAATCTGATAATTTAAGTAATAGGGGCATACCAAAAATCAAACCCATTGCAGTCAAGTCGATTCTGACTCAGTGACCTTATAGAACAGAGAAGAACTACCCCATACGGTTTCCAATGAGTGGCTGGTGGATTTGAACTGCTGACTTTTGGTTGGCAGCCAAGCTCTTAACCACTGCACCACCAGGGCGCCAACAGGGGCATAAGAATATTGAAATGTATAAAAGTAAACAACAAAAAAACTAATAATAATAATACAACCAACCAAAATTTTGGAAATAGAAGGGAGGTAGGAGAGGTGGGAAGAAGCAGATATATACTAATTTCATTACTGCTTATGATGGGGAGTCAATAGATACTAGTTAAAAAAAAAAGATGAAATATATAAAATTATAGTTATAAAAATATCCATTAGAACTAAAATTAGAATTAAGGCCTTCCCACTTATCTGAAAGAATACACAAAAAACAAGACACAAACCTGAGCCATTTAAAAAGATTAAAAAATGATGAAAGAGTTAAAAAAAAAAAAAGGCATTAAAAACAGAATGCATAACCATAAAAAAAGAAGACAGCTAGTTTCAAACATCTGTCACACCAATAAGTGTAAACTGTATACAGTTTATCTATTAAAGGAAATAGGAGCCCTGGTGGCACAGTGGTTAAATGCTCAGCTGCTAACCAAAAGTTTGGCAGTTCGAACCCACCAACGATCCACAGGAGAAAGACATAGCAGTCTGCTTCCATAAAGATTTATAGCCTTGGAAACCCTATGGGGCAGTTCTACTATGTCCTACAAAGTTGCTCTGAGTCGGAATCGACTCGATGGCAACAGGTATTAAATGAAATTTTAGACTGGTACACAAAGCAAAATCCAACCCTAAGCTGTACACAAGAAACACTTCTAATCAAAATAACTGAGAGAGGCTAAAGTGAAAGGCAAGCCAAGGCAAGGCAGGCAAATAAAAACAAAGAGAAAGAAGAGGCCACAATCTCGATATAGATGAAGTTGATTTCAGGGCAAAAAACCTTACACAAAACAAGAGAAGTGCTTTTGAATGAAGAAGATGCAATCCACAATAAAGATCTAATAGCCTTTCCACTAGACTATGCACTAAATGATACAGCATAAAACTTTAAAAGCAAAAACCACAGGAAATATAGGAGAAGAAAAAACACAGTAGTAAATACGAAATTAATTCATCTCTCTCAGGCCATGACAGATCATGTATGTACACTTTCACATCTAAACAAAAGTACTGCTTTTGTGATAAGAAGAAAAGTTATTATAAAGGAGGAAACTTTTTGGGGGCAATGCTTATATTCATTGTCTCAAATGTGGTGATGGTTTCATGGACATATATACACCTATATACAGGTCAAAACTCAGCAAAACTCAGAGTTTACACTTTAAATATGTGCATTTTATTGTATGTCAATTATGCCCCAATAAAGATGTTAAAAAAAATAAAAGATTTGATGTATAGTTGATTAGGTCATCTTCTAGCTCCAAAAGATTCTAAATCATATTCCATTTCCATTTGAGTGACCAGTGTCATTCAAACAACTAGCACTAGAGAAGAGCAGGGTAATTACCCTCAATAATTCCAAATACCCCTTCTCCCTTTATCTTCCCTACCTCAGCCCTGGCCAGTTTCCTCTCTGGACTGATACCTGGAATGAACTTACCAATCATGTCTGTGTCAACAGCTCGATCATAGTAGTAAGAGAAAGCATAGAAGGAGCTTCTCTGGACCTCATCTGGCTGGTGAAGTCTTCCTTGTACCACCCTCTGCACTTCAGCATAGCAGGGCTCAAAGCCCATCTCCCCTGCGAGGACAAAGTTGCACAGGGGTAAGATGAGAAAATGATAGGGGAAGTGACCACTCTTGAAGGCAAAATGCCAGAGGCAATAGGAAGATCAAGGAAAGCAGGAGGAGACTGAGGCTCAAGACAAAAGGGCTTAACAATGAAGATGAGCAAACTTTCGTAGCCTCACTGTTCTGGTATCTATTTCTCCACGCAGCTCCCTCCCTAACCTGTATTCACCAAAAATAGCCATAGCCAAACTTGTGCTGCTGCATCTAGTATTATGTTTCATGGTATTTATGAGCAAGTATCCAGAGGGCTCACCTGGCTCCTTTACTCAAAATCAAATTTTTCCTTGATTTCAAAATCTATGCCTTTTATAATACCCAAGATACTCTTCCTATCGTCTCAATTTTAAGTTTTACTATAATTTAAATAGCCAAATATTAACCTGAAACAGGTTTCACCCTGTTTGAGGGCACAGACCCTTTAATGCGTCAGGCCTACGGTAAGAACAGATTTCTAACAGCTCCACAGCACGTGGCCAGGTAAAGAGTGCAGGACACAGAATGACAGCTGCCTTGTTCACCGTCACTTCACATTATTCCTTGGAAGTATACTAAGATCTATTTGGAATAAGTCCCTGCAACACGACAAGTTTTTACTGAGATCTAGAAAAAGCTTCCCTTGGGACTCTTCCAGAATTTATACTGTCAAGGTAATTTTAACCAGTGGAAAAAATATCACTTGCCTTCTTGGTTGCCACCATACTGGTATTTCACGCCACCAAAAATCCATTCTGCTTCCAACCATCTCGGTAGACAAGCACTTCGGAAGGTCTGTCCATCAATCCCTGGAAGAAACCAGAGCACAAAGTTGTGTGAAGCAAGGATGTAAGAGACAGTGAGAAGGTCAAACAAGAAACCACTAGGGTTCAAAGGAATCACCAAGATGGTGGGGCCTCAAAATTTTATAAAATTAGTTCCATGACTACATCCTATGACAGCAATTCTTAACTCAGGGTTCACAGGTGGGCTTTGTGGGGTTGGCAAACTGCCAAAGCTATAGGTAAATTTTTGTGAACATGTGCATTTGGCAGAGGGATCCATAGTTTTCATCACATTCTCAAAAAAAAAAAAAAAATCTAAAACCCACAATAGAATAAATTTCCTCCTTTCTAAAAAAGGAAAAAAAAAAAATACTTGCTCTACCTTCCTCGCTGGTTGTTGTGAGGCTTAAATGAAATACACCTGAAGATGCTTTGTAAACTCTGAAACGCTATACAATCATCATCACAATAATACCTCATTATAAAAGCCAGGGTGCCCTGGTGGTGCAGTGGTTAAGAGTTCAGCTGCTAACCAAAAGGTCAGCAGTTCAAATCCACCAGCCGCTCTATAGGGCAGTTCTACTCTGTCCTATAGGGTCACCATGAGTTGGAACCGACTTGATGGCACCTAACAACAACAACAACAATAAAAGCCAGGGACCATACCAACTGCATTAAATGCAAAATCTCATTTAAAGTGAGGAAAAGAGCACAGAAAGGTTAAGTAAGCTTGCCTCAAATTACAAAACTAGGACTGAACCCAGCTCTTCTGACCCCAAAAGCTGAGCTCTTAACCCATCTACAAACTGTGAGTTGATAAACAGAGTTTCTCAGTTATTCCATCTTGCAACTGGAACAGGCCCTGCTTCCTGCACCTCCCATGTAAAGTTAAGGACTTGATCAAGCTTCTGCTAATTCACTTTGTCAATTTCTGCTGACACTTCAGCTTCCTCATCACAGGCTGTTCCCCCATACAAGCAGACCTCATCCTAAAAATGGCTAATAAAGTATACTAAAACATCTGAACTTATAAAATAGAAAAGGAATGTACCATTAGGTCCTTCATACAACATATGCTTCCCAATTCAACATAACCCCTTCCTCTCTAAGGATCACTGCTGAGGAAGGGAAATGCTGTCGGCAGTATCAGTGTCACTCTCACCACCCCCCACCCAGCACAGGTCCCAGACGAACCTTCTGTTTCCAGGGCTCCCAGGGTTGCTAGTCTTGCAGCTTTCAATCCAAATCCCAAGTAACTGTAAAATATAGCATTTACAAATTTCACTCTGCTCCTGAAGTTCTCCAGACCAAGGCTACCTCTTTCAAAAGTAACATGGTATTCATAGCAATAGAATGTTTCCCTGTCTCCATCTGGAAGGAGGAACACCTTGTTCTGCTTCAGTGACTTATTTCATCTCATGTAGTCAACAAGAGGCAATCTCTGCACAGTTTAGATCAAGGCTATGCAACAAGAACTCCCTACAGCTATTATTTAAAGGCCAGAGGACAGTGACAATTCCTAGGGCCCAACCTGGGAACCATCCGCAGAAAAGCTCTCATTATTTTAGTGCTTTGCCCCACTGGGATCAAATTCCAGGCTGGATTTTGAACACCTGAAGGCTAGCTCAAAGACTTGTCATCGAGAACTGGCTGAGCCTTCTCAGGGTGTCCTCCCTCTAGAAAAAACTTGACTCTTAAGTTATGTAATTTTGAAGCCAAGAACAGAGGAGCCTATTGGGTCCCTTGGGCTTTATAAGTGGTTTGTATTCAGTTGATAGGCCTTTGGGGATTGGCAAAGACTTTGTAAGGCTGATCGAATGCACAATAGAAATATGAAGACTTTGAAAAGGTAGGAGAATCAATCAACACAAAATATTATTCTTCCGCGTCCCCCTCCTCACCTATGTGTATAGAGCTTATAAGTGCTGTTAAACATCTCAAAGGAAGTGAGGTAGCCTTGTGGGGTTTGTTCCAGGGTTTTCTGCAAATCAGAAAAAGCAAAAAGACTATTCAGGATCTGTAATTATCTGAAGATGTTATCACCACCATCCTTTCCCTTCCCCCAAAAAATCAGAGATGAAGGAGACAGAGTAAACTTAATCCCACAAGGTTTGAAGAATCAAAGGAACTCTGAACAGTGAGGGGGCTATGATCTATGAACAGGGAGCTCACCCAGTCATTAACTGGGTCTCTTCAGCCTATCTGTGGTAGCTGCTGTCTGAAAATGGGGTGCCACCTTCTTGGCACCATTATACGTCTACATGTGTGTTGCTAACCAGACCTTCATGTAAATGACTTACCTCAAACCGGGGCAGGAAAGTGATTTGGGTGGAGGCCCCCCCAAGGTCCAGGGTCCCCACAGTCTCCTGGCTGTGGCCATGCAGCTGACCTGTGAACGAGAGCCAGCATCCTGTGAACATCCTCTGCATCCTGGACAGCCCAGCGCTCTGTCTGCAACTTCTCTCTTGCTCCTGTGGCACACTGGAGGTATTCCATAAATACTCTACTGCTCCCCTCCCCAAAGGGCTGCAGGTGAATGCCAACCTAGAAGGACTCTTGCTGCAGCTGAGGCCTTGAAGGCAGGTTGTAAACATTAGCTTCCTGTCTTTCCTTTCATTTTTTAAATGAAAGAACAATACAGGCAAGAAAGAAAGGGATTTTTGCTCTCCTGACAATGTGTGAAACCCAGTTAAGGTCTTAAGATAAACTTGAGAATGCATTACCTGTCAGAAAATTCACAGTAACCCAAGCTAATATGCCTAAAAAAGAGAAGAAGACAAAAGATTACATCCCAGAGCATTTTTTTCTCTTCCCTGGCCCCATCTTGGTTCTTTCTCTTTAAATTTCATGTCTAGACCATGAAATTCTCTCCTTGTCCTTCCATTTCCTGCTATCCCATTCCTCCCGCTTGTTTGTTTCTCCTTAGTTCCTTTTTCTTTACCACCCCATCCCTGCTTCCACTTCCTACAATTAGATCTTTCATTAACCTTGCCCTTCTCCCCCAAGAACATACATCAAAACCTTTCCCACCTTCATAGGATCCGTCCATGATGCTAACACTGTCATCTGGTACCAGGAAAGGTGACTTCTTGAAGATTTCCCTTACCTAGAAAAAAAAAAAAAATCTGGATTCCCTAAGGCAGTAAGACAGATTTCCATATTTTGGCCGTATCCTATAAGGCTTAGAAAACCATTCTCTTTGTTTTCCCTAGATAATAAAATTTTAGCAGAACATACTCCCTTTCCCCAAGAAACCAGAGAAGGAACCATGCAAGTCATTGTTAGTTTCTTACAAAAACAAAAACATAGGGATTCCTATGACTTTAAAATAAATCTAAACCAAACCATTTGGGTTTATAGGTGACCTAGAGAAGGCCATACATTTGACCCTTTCAGCTCAAATCAGGATCCTGTAATTTGTTTACAACACCCAATTAATTCTACCTAGACACACACTGGAAACTGGGCAGACCCTTTCCTACTCCACCCCTTAGGTGAGCAGATGAACCTGGGGGACTCCTGAAGCTGCAGGAAAGGTTCTCTGCCCTCCCATACAAATTCTGCAGGTCTGTGCCTTCCTGGTGAAGGAGCTCCTCTCCAAGGGCTGATGTACTCTGCTACCAGGCCCTGTCAGATTCTGGCTCGTGGCTGGGGCCTCAAGAGTCTAAAGACCCCAGATCTAGACTTCTGGAATCCTATTTTAGGAGATGGGAATGAAGATACTACACAGATGCTCTTGACTCTCCATTAATATAGGGAATGACATGGGTGTCATGTTTCATTTTTATATGATTATCATGGGTGGCAGGGGGGAGGTTTGAAGGATTCTCTAGATAGGAATAGGAGGAATTCTAGTTTGTTGGCTGTTCTCATTTTTGATGGACAAAAGTACCACACAGTGACCTCCGGACCCTGTTTCAACCAGGAAAAGCCAGTTAAATTATCTGTAAACAGTTTTTCAGGAGAAGATAGATAAACAAACAGGAATAAAAGCAGAGAGCTTCTGCTCTTGCCCCTGCATGCCTCCCCCACCTGACAGTTTAATCTCAACACAACAGCCAGAATGGTACTGTTAAGACAGGTGTCAGATCATGTCTCTCCTTAACTCAAAACCTTCCAGTGGCTTCCTTCTTAGACTAAAAGCCAAAGTCCTTTGAGGCCCCACATGATACATTCTCTCCTCCACATCTCTGTGACCTCATCTCCTACTTCTCTCCCATCATTCACTCGCTCCAGGCACACTGACCCCCTGAATGTTGTTGTTGGGTGCCGTCCTATAGCAACCCTATAGGACAGAATAGAACTGCCCTCTAGGTTTTTCTAGGCTGTAATCTTTACAGGAAAAGATCACTGGTGTGTTGGAATCTCCAGTTAGCAGTCCAGCCACTGTTTCTTGTATGTTTACATACCAAGCACATTTCTGCCTTAGGGCCTTGCACCTGTGGTTTCTTTAGCTTGGGATACTCCTTCCACAAATGCTCTGTATAGCTTGCTTCCTTACTCTTTTCAGATCTCTAATAAAATGCAACATCTTATCAGTGAGGTCCTTCTTGACTTCAACATTTAAAATAGCATCTCCTCTGCACCACCCCCAGCATTCCCTAACTGCCTTACTCTGTTTTATTTCTCTCCATAACATCTACCGGCACCTGACATAATTTATACTTACTCATTTTTTTCTGCCTCCCCTCAACTACAATGTAGTCGGCTCCATGAGGGTGGGGACTGTTCGTCTCTTTTGTTCTCTGATACATGTATCCCCAGTACCTACACCAGTGCACAGCACAGAGCAAGCACTAATATCCTGAATCACTGAGAAGTCAAGATTCTGATACTCATGCAGACATGTTAGGCAGCTTGTCCCTGGACAAGGCACTTAAGTGCTCTGTGCTCATAGTTAAAGAAAATGATTTAGAAGAGTAAATCAGCACACCTGTAATACAGAATCCTTCTTATAGTGATTTTTTTTTGTTACACTGGGATTCTCTGCCTATAAATATTTCTCACAATATGTAATTTGAATCTTATTAATTTTATGTTTATTGCATAACAAATACACACAATAAATTTTAAAATTTACTGAGTTTAGTTTTTAAAAACTTTCTGTGTTTAAAATTTCTATCTGAATAAGAAGGGAGTTGAAATAGATGAACCTTCAAAAATCTTTCAAGCTTTAAAATCCCATGATTCCTCTCAAAAACATTATGCTAAGAGTCAAAAGCCAGATACACACAAAGAAGAATACAAACCGTATGACTCCATTTATATGAAATGTAAGAACAAGCAAAACCAATCTACAGCGACAGAAAGCAGATCAGTGGTTACCTGGTTTCAGGAGTGGGGCATGAGGAAACTGTATTTGTCAAAACTCATTGAACTGGACACTTAAAATAGGTACAATTTAGTATGTACACCATACCTCAATAAATTAAAAACAATTCTATGATTCTGCTTTAACAAGTTAAGAGAATTAAGGATATCACGGATAAGAAGTACTTTAAACTTTTTAGGAAAAGGAGCTCTATAAATTCGAGAATAATATTAAAAATGTGAAGTAACTGGCTACGACAAGAGCCCGTAGTTACCATAATGCTTTGGCAATGGTGGAGCACTGAGGGTAGCAGTTCCAGTCCAAAGGGCTAAAAACCCATAAAAAATATTCATACACGAAAAAAGAATTATCCAAGATGCAGAAGATTTCAAAAATTACCTCAAAGAGCAGAGCCTGGGCTTTGTGTTCTGGCAGTAAGCGCAGTCCTGCTGTTGCCTTCAGGACCACTGGGGTCCTTTTCCAGTGACTTCGGGGGACTGAGTCTTTGGCCACCTCTAAGAGTCCTTGAACAGTCTCGGCAGCCTTCAAAAGAGACAGCCTACTCATCCAATGAAGAGTCCATTTAGTGACATTGGTCTATTCCCCCAACATGTCTTGGGGGATCAATAGGAGTGAGGTGGTGCAGGGCTCCAACCCCTCTCTGCTGTGCAGGAGCACAAACCAGAGAAGCAGGCTACTCTGAACAAAATTCATTTAGTTCTGATAAAGTCATAATAAAAACAATTCTTTTAAAATGTAGTCATTTTAGTTGATTATTATTTTCTGTCTCAAATAAATTAGCTTTAGGCCAGAAAGTTGGGTATAGTGAAGAAGAGACAGGGTATGGAGTTGGAAGACTCACTTGCCAGCCCCATGGCCTTACGTAGGTCTTCTTGGCCTTCCGGGGCTTGGTTTCTTCAGCTGTGAGATGGGAGATACCCCTCACACTACCAAAAAACTGTTGTGAGCATAGGTGAGGCAGAGTGTGTAGTTGCCACACAAATGCTAGTTGTAGATGTTATTATGCTACTCTTTTTATGTCCTTCATAAGGACAGAACATGTCAGATTTGTTTTTGCATCATCAGTACCTATATGCACGGTATACAATAGATGTTTAATTTATGAGAAATGGAAAAAAAAAACATTTAAAGCCACTATTTCCTAAGACAACACCTATTATGACAACATGCTGTCCCTTAATCATTATCATCATTACTAGCAATCAAACAAAATCCTCTTCTCTAAATATCAGATCACTTTCTGATAATATAGTTGCTTTGAACAGTGCCTGATTTTCTAGCCCATTTACCATTTCATGCCATTCTACAACAGTGAACAGAGAAAATAAACTTCTCAGTTCTTCAAGCTCAAGCTGTTTTTAACATCTGGCTTTCTTCTGGTTAATGATTATGCTTGTGACACTGAACAATAACTTTAAGTCGGCTAAGAAAGTTCAACATTCTGCCTTACTCTATTTCATTGTGGACTCTGACACGTTGAGTGCAGTATGTTGTGGGTACTCAAATGTGAAACAGTCATCACAAAACTCTCCATTCATCCTCTACTACCAAAGATTTTTGTCATCGTGGGTTCTTGCCTAATTTCTAGAGCACAGGCAAGGTTCTATACCTGTATCAAGGCACACTGAAATGGAGTTCAATGGGTCTAAGCCAAAAAAAACAAACCCACTGCCACCGAGTCAATTCTGACTCATAGTGACCCTATAGGACAGAGTAGAACTGCCCCATAGGGTTTCCAAGGAGCGGCTAGTGGATTCGAACTGCCGACCTTTTGGTTAGTAGCCAAGCTCTTAACCACTGCACCACCAGGGTTCCTAATTGGGTCAACATTCCCTCAATTGCCATGGTTATACCTCATACTCTATAGAACTTCATGTTTATCTTCTGCATCTATATTAATCAATGCAGTTGATGGCTTCAACTCAAAATCTTAAAAGGTAAATACATAGGGAGTAAAAACATGGTGTTATCTCTGCATGACCACAATTTATTTTCTAGCCTTCTTCCACCCAAGCCCTAGTGAGCCTGGGGTATAGAATTACTGTTATCCAGGAGATTAGCTGAGGATAGAAAGCTGATCTCATACAGGACTGCAATATCATTAGTGAACAGTATGAGGTATTTAACAGCAGTGGTGTGGAAAAGTTATCAAGGCATTGATAATCTAAATGTTTAATTGTAAGAAACTCACCAGCTTAGGCTGATCTACAAAAGCAGAAAGTCCTGGCTTAACAGAATCAAAAATCTCCCCTTCCAGAATTGGAAGCTCTCCTATAGAAACACAAAATAGAAGAGAAAGGGCTGATTACAAAATGTTAGGCTGCTTCTGTGTAAATCTACTCTGTAAATTTACTAGATTAGCCTGCTATTCCCCCAAGCTACTTCAACTATCTTATCTATGAGGAATGTCTTACTAGAGTATCGGAGGAGGGGGAATAGAGGGCAACGGGCAACCTTGAAGGTCCCTCTGCCATTTCTCTGGTGGATATATAGCTCCTACTCCTTTCCCCAGGCTCCACCAGAAACCTGAGGAAAGAACACTGAAAATTAAGGAAAAGTTAATTGACCTCAGGGTCCTCTCACCCCCTTCTCCAAGGATGGTGAAATTCTCATGTGATCCTTCTACCAAGACCACTCCCAAGCTTTGAGCCTGAGACTCAATATTCTGGACCTCTGGAATATTAACCATCTTTAGAGAAGCAGAGGGGTAGATTACATTTATAATCCTTGGACATGTGGGTTTTGGACTACAGGCAGCCCCAGTCTTTGTTAATTTCACATTAAAGTAAGTCAAATGTATCCAACGATAGTCCAAGTGTCCTCTGAAGAAAGACATTCACTAGCCATAAGATTCCGTAATTCACATCACACACTCTCAGCACGTTTGTTTCTCGGAGAAGATGCTAAAGTGTGGGTTTACAGAGACTCTGGTGAGGTCACCAGCTGCACATACCTGGTATTTTCTGCACAAAGGTGTAAACATGAATTCGAGTTCCTGTGCTCCCCGCATCAAACATAATTCCATACAAGGTGCTGGCACTGACATTGATGGGGCACATGGAAGACAGGAAGACACCCTCAAACCAAGTCTGCTGGTCTCTGTGGAAGACAGTGCTGCAAACACAGGATGCCACCAGCATGAAGGAGGCTGCACCCCAGGAAATGGCCATTCTCTCCCCAAGATGTGGTGAGTCTAAGCTTTTGTTGCAGAAGCAGCACCAATCACAGACCTGAAGTGGCTTATAAGAAAAAGATACACAACGTTAGACCAACTGGCCTTTTTGTTTATACCTGTAAGAGAAGAAACACCCTCTATAGAAATCATACCACTGTTCCCAAGGTGCTCCTTCTCTATTTCTAATAACCGGCACAACAAGCTAAATCAGGGTGACAAAGGCTCTTAGCACCTTTTCCGAACGGTATCTTGTTCCAAAAGGAAATAGGGGTGTCTTAGGCATCTAGTGCTGCTCTAACAGAAATACCACAAGTGTATGGCTTTAACAAAGAGAAGTTTATCCTCTCACAGTCCAGTAGGCTCCAAGTCCAAATTCAGGGCATCAGCTCCAGGAGAAGGCTCTCTCTCTCTCTGTCAGCTCTGGAGAAAGGTCCTTGTGATCGGTCTTCCCTTGGTCTGGGAGCCTCTCTGTGCAGGAACCTCAGGTCCAAAGGACGTGCTCTGCTCCCGGCACTGCTTTCTTGGTGGTATGAGGTTCCCATGTGTCTCTGCTCGCTTCTCTCTTTTATATCTCAAAAGAGATTTCATTAAGACACTAATCTTGTCAACCTCATCAGTATAACCTCATCACAGTGATAGAATTTACAACACATAAGGAGATCACATACAATCTCATCATAGTGATAGAGTTTACAACACATAAAGAAATCACATCAGATAACACAATCATATAATACCGGGAATCATGACCCAGCCAAGTTGACAGATATTTTTGGGGGACACAGCTCAATCCATGACACTCCACTTTTTGGCCCCCAAAAATTCATGTCCTTGCAACACGCAAAATATACTCATCTCATCATGTCACAGCAAAAGTCTTAACTCCGAGTCCAAATTCCAAAAATTCCTCTTCATCTGTGAAATCTAGAATACAAGATATCTGCTTCCAAAGGTAGAGTGGCAAAACAGGCACAAGCTAGACATTTCCAAATGGGAGAAACTGGAGGAGAAAAAGGGGTAACAGGCACCAAGCAAGTCAGCAGAACATTAGCCCTCAAGGTTTTGAAAAGAATCCTCTGTTCTCCGAGACAATTTACACAATAGCCCTGCCCTCCAGACGCTACGTATTGGCCACAGTCTCCAGATTCTGAGTGGAGGCCCCTCGGCCCTGGGCTTCAGCTCCGCCTTCCAGGCCCATTGGAACAGCAACTCTGCTCCCTCAGCTTTAAGCGCACCATTCTCCTAGTCCATCGGAGTGACATCTCCACCCTTAGAAACACCAGGGGCCATGGCTCCACCCTTTGAAACCCCAGAGGTCTTGGCCATACCTTTTGAGACTGAGGCAGATCGGCTTCTTGTGTTCCTTGTCTCTTCAGCTTCTGCTTCCAGTGGCCTCTTGGTCCTCGGGCCTCACACCCGCATCTGCCCTACTGGGGCAAGTGTTTCAAAGCTCCGTAGCTCCACCGATTAAGTGCCTGAGGCACCCCACTCCGCCAGGAAGCCTCCTGCAAACAGGTACTCAGCTCCCTCGCTCTGTGGGTCAGCAAGCCCAGCTTCACCGATAAGTGCCCGAAGGCACCCCACTCCACCAGGAAGCCTCCGGTGCACAGGCACTCAGCTCTCTAGCTCCGTGGGTCAGCTCCAGCACCATCTCAGGCTGGTCTCCTGGTTCTGCTGCTGCTGGTTCTCTGTCGCTGCCCCTTCTGTGCTGCTGCAGGTTCTCTGCCGCTGCTGGTCCTCTGCTGCTGCCACACCTCTGTCCATTCACAGTTTCAAAACCACTTCCACATTTTAGGTATCTGTTAGAGCAGCACCCCACTCCCAGTACCAAATTCTGTCTTAGTCATCTAGTGCTGCTCTAACAGAAATACCACAAGTGGATGGCTTTAACAAAGAGAAGTTTATCCTCTCACAGTCCAGTAGGCTCCAAGT